AAAAGGTCATGTACGAGGTTTACTGCCAGAACTAATGTTATTACCACTAAGTGAAGTATTTATTAGTCCTAAATAAAAAAATAAAAAAAAACAAACATTATAAAATCATAATAAAACAAAGTTATATGAAAGACACATACACCAACAGGGGACTTTAGAATTAAGTGACGTGAGTAGCGGTTAAAAATGGTTTTGATCATTCTTATAGTTAGAACTTAGAAATATAGCTCAAAATTTTTTTTGAGAGAAATTGAGAGTTTCTTAGTTTTTTCGATTATCCTTACACTTGAGAAAAATGATCTAATCATATTACAGAATTAATCAGTACTGATGCAATTAAAATATTTTTTCTTTTTACTCACTTAAATTTGCACATTTTTTGCAAAAAATTACTCGTGTATGATAAATGATGAAATAAATTTATAAATTCATAATAGTAATAATTAATAATTGAATAATCCTATATAAATAATTCAACGTAAAATAAATAATAAAAATGAATTTATGGGAAAAAGTCTAATTTTTGTTTTTTAGCCGCTTCGTAATATTGATTCTTATTAATATATGGCCGTTTTGCAATAACATTACCAATAGAAGCTTCTCCAATCCCCTCATGGGTATTTTATAAACTATTTATTTCCCAAAAATTTGGATTTATCGCTTTAGTAAAAGCAAATGTGGCTCGTGCTGAAAAAATAGGGCCAAAGTAGCTCTTAAAATTATCCGTTGAAACGATCAGAATATTTGATGTCTTTTTTCTTTCCCTGTATGGTTGCGAGGTAAATATTATCGTTATAGGTTGATAATTTTGAAGCTCAGGACTTCCCTCAATGCCACTTAAATTCTTATCATCTTCCTTATAGACATTACTCTCGGTCATCTTTACTGAGCAATAGTCCCATTTGTTTTGACCCATTATGAGATAATAAACTCCATTTTCATCTTCCATAACAAGAAATATATCTGCAAATTCAGCAGAACTACCGTTAACAACCACAGATCGACCATCCTTCCAGTGGATCTTTGTACCATCAGATTTAAGCGTCAAATCTAAACTTAATGGAAATTGCTCTCTCGCCTCATATGTAAAGAGCTTTTTCAATTTCATAATAATATCTAAGTCATTGTTTGTTCCACAAGCACCAGGATGTAGTTCTCGAAGGGATAGCTTATCCTTTCCCATTTTAATGGCCAGATTGACCCGAAAGGAAATATGATGTGCCACGAATAATTCCCATCTCTGCCAATACTTTACTTGAAAGGTCTTTGCAAGATTCACATTAACAATCTTTAAGATATCGTTGTAAAGGCAAATAAAAAAAAATGGCATTTCAATAAGGTATAAACATGGAGAGAGAGGAGAGAGAGCAAAATGTCCATCACTTTGCAGATCTTTGACAGTAATTTTTAGCTTCTCATCTAAGCATTCGTCTTCATCAATAGGGATCCCCTCAACACAATGATACAAAAGTTTTATGGCAAGTTCCTTATTACCTTCCACTTTATAATAAATGTTGTACATTTTTTCAAGATCACCCTTAACATTTGTGAAAATATTATCATAATCATGACTTTCAAGTTCCCGAAAGAATTCTTCTCCATTATCACATAATTTCATAAAACATATGGTAAAGAGTTGTTCAAGTGCACGAGGCAAACCTCCAGTGTCCATCAGCAGTTGTATAAGTGGAACACAAAACTTCCATTTATATACATGGTTTTCTGTTGGTGCTTTAAATTTTGTCGCAAAATGGTCCATAATTCGAATTATCGATGCATTGTCCAATAATGGACAATCAACAAATTGAAATGAGATATCCGCAGTTTTTTTTTGTTCAGCAATAGCTCGTGGTGCTGTTCCTGAGAGGAATGGCTGTATAAATGTAAGGTTTTCAGTAAGCATGTATTTTGCAAGGTTGCGGATCATATTCTTAAATAATTCTTTTGTTTTATTTTTTGCATCCCAGGCATCAATCTTATGAAATTTATCAATGTGAAGATACAAGAATAATTTTTGATTGTTGGAGAACTTCAGAGATTTATAGCAATAATTAATGACGGACTCAAAAAAAAAAATATCGTTGCCATATGCAAGAACTAAAGATCGGAATACTTGAAATGTGATGTAATAATTTTTTTCCATAAAGAATACATAAGCAATCCGCAATCCAAAAATTACTGTTGGTATAAGTTCACAGTCATAGTCATCAAGGTAAAGGCTAGTTCCAAAATCCATATAGAGATATTCAAAATGTACGTCATTCCATTCTTGTGGTGGTTTCCAGTTTTTTTGGATGTGATCAAATAGTTCCATTCCAAACCGAGTTTTTCCTATTTAAAAAATTTCAGATACAGATAGCAATTTATATAAATCATTTAGAAAAGGCATAAGGAACTTACCTATCCCGGGGGCTCCTGAGCTGACGAAACACCAATAATTCAAATTGCCTATCACTCCCTCAACATTAGCTCTTGTAGTTTCTTCAACTCGAACCAATGCTTCTCTAAATTCACGATGTTGCAGTGGCATGTCTAATTGGTTAGGTGATTTAGGCTTAGACTTTCTTTTTTTCAAATTCTTCGAAATTTCCTCAATAATTTCTTCAACTAAGAGAAGCAATTAAAATTGGCATTTGGAAAAATTCAAGCGATAACGATTGTATGCGTACTTACCAGTTTTCAAAGATTTTAATTGTCCTGATCCTTTGAAAAAAAGTTATGGTTGAGGAAATGTGATATAAACAATAAAATCAATTCTTGTTCAAGAGGTAAAACATTGGGAGACACTTACCAGTGGTGGTGGGCTTTGGCAGTTCTACGATGATGTGGATGTGCTCACTAGAAAGTTGTTCTTTGAAAACTTGCCCAATAGTTTTGAGGTCACTGTCCAGCTCCTCACCTCTGAACTTTACTTTGATGTCGATTCCTTCATATATCTCTTGCTTTTTGCTTTCAGGAATATTGACTTTCCATAATATCAGTTTGTGTGCAGGTCCAGCCAATCCTGCTTGCTCCTTGATAGCTCTCTTGAGATGTCTTATGGTCTTGCCTGTATCGAAATCAACAGGAAATGCGTTCTTTTCACCTAAAACAATACAACCTAACATAATTTTGGTATATCTATAATTGCGAAAATAGAGAGTAGTTCAAAAAAAATCGAATTTAGTTTGTACCCAGAATTGCGAAAGTACTCAAATTTTATCATATATACTGTATATACATTTTCATAAGCAATCATTGACTAATTACTACGAACTGTGAGTCAGTAATACTACGAACTGAGTCAGCGATGTGTCAAAAATCAATTCAAATTACAAAAAAAATTTATCAATCAAAAATCAGCCACATATCACAATGTCACATGAGAGTGCCAATCAAAATAATTTCCAGTTGTGAAGACATTACGCAACAAGGTATGTTATGACTGTACATTTGCAAGAAAGCTTATAAAACTAATATCCATTTTTTTTTGTTAGGTGGAGAACATAAATTTACCAAGGTCAATATTGTTAATTTATTTCTGACTCAGCATATTCTATGTATATGTTATTACTATTCTGGTCTGGAGTGATAACTAACATCGAAGATGTCAAACTGACCAGTTGTGACAAAAAGGTCAAATAGTAAGATTGATAATATTGTAACAAAATATAAGGGTATCACTAATAATTTCCAATAGAAAAATAATAATGATGGTAACTAATGTAAGAGTTTCTTAAGAATAGAAATCTATCAAACAAATAATGATAAAACACAAGGTTAAACAGTAAAACACGTGAAAAGTTTACTGCAATAAATCATACAAAAAAAAATAATACTTCGGATAACACAATCTAAACTCTCTGTTAGATCTACCCAGGTGTTAACAACTTTTATTCAAAAGAAGATATTACCCTATATATGTTTACATTTTCACACATGACAGTTTGAACTAATCAATATTATCCTATTATACTAATATGATTAATCAAGCAATTATCTGTAAAAACTTTTCTATTACCATTTTGTATAAGTTCCATATATCTATATAATTCATCAATCTCAAGAACTAACTAATAAACTAATGTTATAATAATTAAACTGATACTTATAATTGAATATTTATGAGTCAAAAGCAATAATAATACTAAAAGTAGTTAATTAATGTAAGTAACTAATAAAACTAAAATATATTATAAGAAATGTTTCATAATCATGGGAATTCTGCACACTACATCATGTGACTTGTTCGATCTTCAACTATTTCCATGGGAATAATTTTAAATAATTCTTTCTTAAGCAAAAATTTTGGTAACACATAAGTGACGACCATTTTATTCTATCCAGAATATCAATGTTGGGGCAATGAAATCGGATTAGAGTTAATGTTGAGATATTATGTTAGTATAGATAGTTTAACACTTGTGTAGGTCTGTATAGTAGCTCAAAATTTTTTTTGAAAATCACTCGTGTATGATAAATGATGAAATAAATTTATAAATTCATAATAATAATAATTTCTTTATTTAATAATTGAATAATCCTATAAAAAAATAAGAATGACTAAATTATTTAAATTACAAACTAAGAATCTTCCTATTACTCTATAATCTTAGTGTTTAAATAATTCAACATAAAATAAATAATAAAAATGAATTTGCAGTCAAATTATCAAATTGTAAATTAATTTAAGATTCATCTATTAAATAGATAGATTAGTAAATAAATGTAATTTATTATTTTAATACATTATTAAAAATACTAAATATTAAACAAACCATCAAGAATTTCTGATTTAACTTGTTCTGAATGAAGACTTGGATTATTTTGTTCTTCATCTGTAAAAGTAAATAAATAGAATAATGACTAATTTACATTATAAATAATTTAACAAATATGGCTTACCATTAGTACCAATATTTAATTGTTGTTGCACGAATTCTCTCTCATGGTCATTTTGAACGTCTGCTATCATCAATAAATTAAATTATTAATATACTTATCAACAAAAATATTATAAGAAAATTAGGATTGATAAATAAATAAATATTTTAAGGCTTTACCATTCTCTATTTTTAATTTTTTGGATAATCTTGGTGATTCTTTACTATCATTATCTAAAATTAAGATATCAGTAAATTAGTATTTATTTATTATAAAACACTAATAAGAATAAACTATTGGAACTAATTGGTATATATTGATTACTCGATTTACTAAGATTACTAGCTATAATAAAATGAATCATTTAATATTATATTGTATAAAATTCAATATAATTTTAATAAATACTTACCATTACTAGAAATACTAAAATCATATGATCTACTGATATAAAATGCTATTTAAAAAAAGAGATTATTTCAATCTATTTATTTATTAATAAAGGACTTTATACTAAAACATTATTATTTTATATTACCTTTTTGTTCTTCTATTATTATTTATAAAATAAAAAAGATATTATTAATAATATTGAACATTAAAAAATTAAATTAATAATATACAGTATATGAAACACTTTATACCTTCTGTTGCATTTTTTGGTTCAGGTAGGTTTTCAAATTTATAAATTTTACTTGTAAATGATTTACTATACATGTTAATTTTTTCTTTATCTACTTTTGCTATTAATTGAGGTAATTCATTTGAATTATTTTGATAATATGTTTTAATTTCTCTGATTTTTTCCAAAAGTGCACGAGTTTCAGGTCTTTTTAATGGATTAGCATTCCAACATTGTTCCATTAAACTTTTATATTTTGAAGGAATTTCTGATATAATTTTTGGTCTTATACCATCAATAATATTAATTGCAAGAATACAATCATGTTCATAATTCATAAATGGAGGTTGTCCAAATGAAATTTCCCACATAAGCATTGCAATACTATAAATATCAGATTTAAAAGTATATCCTCTTCCAATAATAACTTCAGGTGCTATGTAAGGAAGATTTCCATATATACTTGTTGATGGTTTGTCTGCAGGACCACAAAATCCTAGATCACTAATTTCATCATTAAAATGGGAATATAATATATTTCCAGAATGCAAATCTCTGTGAGTTGAATTCTCTTCATGAATATAATAAAGTGCTTCAATTATTTCATAAGTAATTCTAATTCTTTCATTCCATGTAAGTTGATTATGATTTTGTTGTAAAAATTCTCTTAAATTTACATCCATTCCTCTCATTACAAGTAAATAATTTCCATTTGATGGATTTTTTGTTAAACCGAAACATTGAACAATCACTGAACTTTTGTTGCTTAAAGTTAAATGTGATCTAACCTTAAAAATATTTAAAAAACTTAATTTTAAAATTTAATTATTAATAATAAATTTTATTATTTTTTTAAAGTTACCAACCTCTTCAAACCAACTTTGACTTGCATTTTCAACATTTTTTAATTCTTTAAGTATTACTTTATGAATTCCAAATCTTATTAATTGTTGTTCTTTAGAATCCCATTCTTCATATTGACCATCAATCCATTTTGCTGTGTAAATCTCTGAGAACCCACCTTTTGTCAGATATTCAATATTTTGTAAGTTATTAAATGGGATCCATTCAATAATAACATTTGGTCTAAGTGTTTCCGTTTGGCAATTTTTTATTAAATTATCGATATCATTATTTCCAGATGTCCAATTTGGAAAATTTGCTCTTAAATAATTTCGAACACAATATTCACAATATAATGTAGCTAAACATTTTTGGTTACAATGTTCACAAATTCTTCTCGTTCCTGAATTATAAAGAATTTTATCTCGGTCATAAGATTTATTATTTTTTCTTATTGCTTCAGTTTTTTCTTCTTCTGTAAGAGAATCATCATCAAGAATTTTTTGTTCACAAAATTTGTATTGTTTATGAAAGCCAACACAAATACTATAATCAATTGACATATGGGCTCTCCTAAGTGCTGCTTCTATTAAATTCTTTCGAATATTAGACATTTTTGTAAAAAAAAAAAAAAAATTTTTTTTTAATAATTGAAAAAAAAAAGTTTCCATTGATGGTAAAATTGGTGCGACCAACAAACAAAACAAAGAAGTATTGTCTACTGATCTGCCTGTCATGTGCTACATTGTCAGCAAATTAAATAAAGGTTCTTATATTTTCATTTAACTTGTGAGATCATTTTTATCTATTTATTTATTTCTTGTAAAACATGATGTAAAAAATACAGAGGCACCAATAACATTAAAGATTGTACAAAAAAAAAAAATAAAAAAAAAAAGTTTTAAAATATATTTCTGCTAAACTAATGAAATGTATTTCTTAAAAATGATGTTTTTGGAAAATAGATTTTATTAATCAAATCCTCATAAAATTCAATATATCACTCTATAAATTGATAAAATAAATTTCAATTGGATCCATGATATCAATAAATTCCAGTGAAAAAAAAATCATATCATCAATTGTCTTTATTTCTCTTCAGTTAACTAAATTAATAATTTTAATAATTAATATTATATTTTTAAAATTGTGCTTAATTTTTATTTTTAGTTATTATGTTTAATTGAGTCAAAATTTAAAGTTTCAAAAAATAGAAGTCAAAATTCAATTTTGATGATTAAATTTTAGTTGCATAATAGGACCCAGAAATATATGTATAGGAGTCAGGTGATGAAAAAAATTTTTTACTATTAGCTGTACGCATTTTTTCAGGGCCGGAATTATGATAATGTCAGTCAGTTACTATAATAGGAAATGAAATTCTGACTGGTATTATCAAAAATTATCTAAAAAAGGAAAGATTTTCATGATTTTTTAGTTCAAAATACGCAAACTTAAGCCTGATCCTTTTATATATATTTCTGGGTCCTTGCATAATATTTCGATAACATAATACGTAAAATACTATTCAAAGTTATTTATTGTATAATAAGTCTACAAATTTAAAAATTAAAGTACATGTATTACGAAGATGATAAGATATATCTCTTTTTGAATATAATGACATTATAGATGACAGTATCTATTTTATGAGAACTTTCTGTTTATCACTTTATATTCACTTTTTATTGCTAAAAAAAGGAAAGTAAGGTAAAAAGGGATATCGGTCAATAGAATTCATAGAATTCCTAGTAGTAAGTATTAAACTGTGAGAAAAATTATAACCGCCATTTATGTAAAATTCTGAAGAATATCCTGATTATTCACATAATAATATTGCATCTGCTGATACAAATTAATCCAATCATTCGGTAGTAAAAAACTTATTTTTTTTAAATTTTCTTTATGAAATTCTTATCATCGTTTTTAAATTTTTATTTGTCTCTTCATTTTTATAATTATATTAATTATATTTAACTTGTTAGGATTTGCTGATAAAATTAATTTCTATTTTCGCTGTGAATTATATAAAAAAGTGTCACTCCACCACCCGGTAGTTAGTCGAGAATCAGGCGAAAAATCAAACAAAAATTCTAATAAAATTTCAAACATACCATTATTTGCATCATCGATATTTACAACCAAACGAACTCGTACTTTCTACAAAGTAATAATAAGGTAGGTTTGTTTATTGTTCGTTTAGCTTCTTGAAACATGACATCACAATATTAATCAATTTTCTCGCCTTTATGGATGTTCTATAATGAAACGGACATGATACTCTTGTTATTTAATCAGCATTCTAATCTTCACCGAGAAAATCTCTGACCATCACTACACAATATCATAAATAAATTCCCATGATGGTATATGCTGAATTTTTTAATGTTTGGCGCAAAATCGTACTTGCAAAAGAAAAATCGCCTGAACACAAAGGATGCACTATGAAGCAAATTAATATAGAATTGGAAATATTGCATATTTTTTTTTATCTCATCACTAATCTCCCAAATTTACGCTATACTATAGGTTTGCAGAAATTAGCATACCTTCTTGTAATTTACAGTATGTTAAAATCGATATTGAATTACCTTAACGATCTAAAAGAAGTTGAAGCGTATTTAGAAAAGTTCTGTTGATATAGCTATCACGTTAATAATACTAGAATATTATGTGCAACTGTCAGTATCTATATATTGCGTCTTCGTATATGGATATTTGCTATAAAGGTTAATTTTACTTTTTTTCTTAACAAGATAAAGGGATTCGTATTATCATACTATTATTTCATAAAAATTTATGTAACCTTTTTACTACTTTTAAGCGGCAGGTTGGCCAAAAGTAATCCATCATTCTCTTTTAAATGAAAAAAAAATTATATTAAATAATATTAGTAAGTGTAAGAGTGATACTAATGAACATACTATGCATCCTAAACTGGTTGCGGGAATTCTTACACCGATTTTGCCAGGTTCATGAAACAAAATTTTTTTAAATCTAGAATTTGCAGATTATTATTTTTTTTTTTTTTGTGAGAATGCGAGAAAACAATAGAAATTGCTTATAAATTAATAAATATCAAGTGTAATTTACAAATTAGCGCATAAGGTCTTTTGATATTTTAGATTACTCATGGTCATGGATATTACTACTTTGTGCTACTTCGTTAGACGGGTACTGACCAGAGTTAACGAATTTAATTCTAACTGAAATAATTAGCTCTGATCAAATTAGGATAACAATTTTTATCAGGCTAAAACTCTTAGCTGGAAACAAGAAATCGAATTGTACTCCACATAATTAATTTCTTTTAAATGAATTCTTTGTAGTTTTCATAACACATTTTCACAACATGATTAAACAGTTATAAAAGTAATATAAGAAAATTTCATGTAATATTTCTGGTTTATTGAATTTTATTTAAGAGTTGGATATAATTAACAAATAAGTTATTGTTATCTGTTATAATTTCAATCGATTGGTAAAGTAGCAATACATCGTTAAAAATAGGTTTATATTGAAGGTAGCTTTTTTTTACAAATCCAAAGACTATATTATATATGTATAAGGAAAATATTAATTCATTGCAAATAAATAAAAAAGACAAATATATTTACAAATAATTATAATTTCCTACCTTCATAAAAAAGTCATTATATCTATTACCAATAATTTCAATAGAATTAATAATTTGCCTTATTTCAGCCAATTCTTCAGAACTAAGATTAACTTTTACTGCTTCAACATTTTCTTCCAAATGTTTAATTTTTCTTGTGCCAGGAATAACAATCACGTTATCTCCCTGTGAAAAGTATATAAAACTTAAAAAAAAATGTTATGACATTAAAATGTAAATAAACTTTGATATTTACCTGAGCTAGAATCCAAGATAAACAAAGTTGACCTGGAGTTACGCCTTTCTTTTCTGCAAATTCATTAAATTTATGTACAATTTCCAAATTTTTATTGAAATTTTCACCTTGAAAACGTGGAATCAATCTTCTAAAATCATTTGGTTCAAAATCATCAATAGACTTATATCTTCCCTAAAAAAATATACATATATTAGTAAATCATTACGTTTTCATAAAATACAAGGACAATTTAAAAAATGACAAATACTGTTAGAAATCCGCGCCCAAGTGGACTATAAGCTATTATAGTGACACCTAATTCACGACAAGCTTCCATAATTCCATTTGTTTCAATATCAAGTGTCCAAGGACTATATTCAATCTTAAAAATAATTTTAATTTTTAATACAGATTGAAAAGGGTTATTATTATTTTATGTTGAATGTTAAAAATAATGTCCCGTCAATATTATATATAAAATTGAACTTACTTGAACTGCGGCAATAGGATGAACTTTATAAGCACGTCGAAGAGTTTCTGCAGAACATTCAGAAAGACCAATATATTTAATTTTTCCTTCTTTAACAAGTTCTGCTAGAGCACCAACAGTATCTTCAATGGGTCTATAAAAATCATAAATTAATAGTTCATTATTTCAATTCTTGACAATATCATGAATAACTTTTTTACTTACGTATTAGGATCTACACGATGTTGATAATAAAGATCGATATAATCCACTCCTAATCTTTTTAAAGAGTTTTCGCAAGATTGATGAACGTATTCTGGTTTACCTGATACACTAAATTCGCCATTTGGACCTCGAACGATGCCAAACTTTGTACAAAGAAACACTTCATTACGACGATCTTTAAGAACTTTTGAAAGGAGGATTTCATTGGCTCCATTATCATAAATATCCTTTATATTTAAAATTAACAAATTCAATATACCATTTTCATTATTATAAGCTAATTATTAGAAAATTTAAATACAAACAGCAGAATCCCAAAAGGTACATCCTAAATCAAATGCTCGATTCAATGCTTTAATATTTTCTTGTTCATCGGCTGAGCCGTAAGTATATGTGCCCTATCATGTAAAAGTTGATTAAAAGATTATATAATTAATGATATCAATACCAATTGGTGAACGCACCATGCCAATTGCGGGAATTTTTACACCAGTTTTACTAAGTTCACGAAATAACATTTTTTAAAAAAATAAAATAAAATAAAATAATTTTAACAGAGTTAATAATAATTATATATATTTTTACGAGTTATAGTGAATTGAAATCGTATCGTGAATTAGAGAAGTATTTATCGTTATTTATTGATGCACAAGAATCCAAAAAAGGAACAGTCGGAAACCGTCGGGTAAATTTTCGGACACGGTAATGCGATCCGAAATTTGTCCATCCGGATAATCCGTCCTCAACCGATCCGAATTCAGATAACGGATAATTTTCTGCATCTAAATCCGCGTTTATTTGTTATCAAGAGAACATCAGAGTTAAATAATTTCTTCAACTTTTTACAGTTTTTTAAAAAAAAACCGCAAGTCTGAGTCACGTGATTATCATGACGGCCAGGACTATTAATGTTTCCGCAACACCTTTAATATCTGGATATCCGTAGTCGAACGTAACGTACGGATAGTATGATTAGCGACGAAGTTCCCCGGAAAAATGGTTATAATAAATCGTGTACCAGGCAAAAAATCGTGTATCAGGCAAAAAAATCGTGTATCAGGCAAAAATTCGTGTATCAGGCAATATTCAAATCACGGGATACCGGATAAATCACTTATTCGGCACTTCGAACCGAATAACTAACGCTACCTAAAAGTAGCTTGTTATATTGGGAATCAAAACTTGATTTACCCAATATAACAGTTATTCGGCACTTCGAACCGAATAACTAACGCTACCTAAAGGTAGCTTGTTATATTGGGAATCAAACTTGATTTACCCAATATAACAGTTATTCGGCACTTCGTGCCGAATAACTATTAAATATATACGGTAAAATTTTTGTACCGATGAAATCGTCATATCTCCATTACAACAATATAATGCGATATCAAAACGGATTGAAATCACACAAGTTTATCCGTATGTGGCCCCAAATATAATAATTATATAAATAAAAATTCTTCATTGAAGTCCAATTCCGGTTAATGAAATTTTTTTATCATTTTTTCGGCTCCTTTTTAGGACAATGCGATCGGTCATCGGCCGCAGCAGAATGTTGATTTTTTTAAAATTAATAAACTCTCCTTTCTTTGATTTGGCTTTTTTTTTAAAACCAAAAAATTATCTGTGGCTTATTGATTAGAAGCAACATTATTTAAAAAAAAAAGCTTTCTAAGAAAATAATTTCACACCTGTCTCTTATACACATCTAGATGTGTATAAGAGACAGGTTTTTATTTACAGTATTTATTATTTATTTATTTTTTATTAGATACAAATTATTTTAAATATTGTTAGAAATTGGATCAACAAAATCTATCTAATTAAAAAATTTTTGTCATATTTAGATTACCCTGTATAAATAATTTGAATTGTGTAACATTGAAAGTGTGCGTTCGATCTATTTCGTAATTATCATATCATAATTATATCATAATTTAAACTAATACATTTACAGTTAATTAAAATTTTAACTGTATTTTTTTTTATTCTGGTGAATTAATTAAAAGTATAATTTCTCTTATGCATTTATTTGTTGGCTCTCTTAGTTACCACGAACCATTTCTTTAATAATAATTTTTTTCAGTTTTTACCAAAAAACTGAAACTACCTTTTTAGTCTTTTTTTATTATCATTATTGTTTCTTTTGGTTAACTTAACCAAAATTTTTTTATTCTTATTGGATTTTTTTTCAGGGGATTTTTTTTTAATCGGAATTTATCAAAATTTTGGATTTTTTTTTTAACCCAAAAAATAGGCTATTCTTTTTTTTTGGTTTGGGTCAAGACTATAGAACTATGTCCTATGGCTTTTTGTGAGATTTTTTTTAGTTAATGATATTGTTTCTAACCAATAAATTCGTTTTTTTTTAGTGAGAATTTTTTTGATTATATAGATATTTTGTAATTTAATCAATAAATTTTTTGATAAATCTATATAACTAAAAAACTATATAACTTAAAAAATTTGTCTGACGTTAGTCTCTGCATAATAATTTGAATTGTGTAACTTGAAATCCATGCCATATAATTAAAACCCGTGACATACCTCCGCCTGATCTATTTATCCGTGTACATTCCAATCAACTAATATAATTTCATTTTACCTTCAAACTGAAAAAAAATTTTTCTTCCTTTCTTCTTTCGGTTTAGTTTTTTTTTCAAACCGAAAATTTGATTTTTCTCATTCTTTTCCCGTTTAGGTTTAATTTTTTTTCCCATTATTTTTTTTTTTTCGAATTTATTGCAAAATTTTTTCGATACTTATTTTTTTCAGATCCCTTTTTTTGAACCGATTTCTTTCTTTATTCCCCCAAATTTATTTTTAATTTTTTTTTTTCTTTCAATTTTTTTTAAAAAAATCAATAATAACATGTAGAAAGATGATTAAGATTTTCAATTAAATTGAACGCTGGATAAAATAGTTTGATTTTCAAATTCATAAAAATCAAAAAAAAATTGATATTTTTACAATTAATTAATTGAAGAAATTGTTGATTTAATAATAGACTATTATAACCAAATCCATATCCAAAATTCTCTAAATAATCACCAGATTTTTGATTAAAAATTTTAATTCAAATGGTTTAGTTAAATTAATAATTTATCGAATAAAATGAGTATCAAAAGAATAATAATAAATGAAATGAACAGATTTCTAATACATTTAAATGATTCAAATGTTGGTTATAAGTTTAAGATTGACGTAATAAAAATAAGAAATAATTAATTAATTAATATAAATATTTGTAGTATTTTCATAATATTTAAGTTTTTTCAAGAATACTTCTAAAAAATTAATCAATTTTTATTGAATAATTATTTTTTCACAATTCCTAATTAATCCGAATTTTCACTCTACACTCAAACATCAAATCATTAATACATTATTCTAAAAAAAATGTATAAGAAATAGCAACACGAAAATAAAAATAATTTATTATTTATATCATTCTAATATTATAAATATAATTTAATACATATGTTTTGTTAAGTAATTATTACAATATTAAATTCCTAATTATAAACAAAAAAACTTCTTTAATTTACTCAGTATTACATTATAATACTAAATCTTTCTATTTAAAAAAACTCATTGTTCCTGGCGCGAAGCAATGGGTGACAGCTAGTTTACTACATTTTTTTTTATATAATTAATCTTACATATTTTTATCAACTAATAAAAATATATCATTATTTATTTTTGTTTTAGGTTTGAATTTGGATCAGATCGATACTATTGGGCCATGGTAGGCGCCTTTTTTTCAATTTCTTTTTCCTTTAATTATTATTTTTTTTCACTAATATTTTTTTCTCTCAATAAATTTTTTTTTTTCATTCCTTTGTCTTTTAGGTTCAGATTTGGATCATCACTGCGAAATATAAATATAATACATTTAATTTTAATCTAAAAAAAATTTTTTTCACTTGAATACATATAAATGGAATGTTCAAATTACATGTACAATCAACTTGCACTGAATTTTTTGTCTTTAAAATTTTCTCTATCCAATTAATCTGATCAATCTGTATATATTTTTCGTATCCATTTCAATCAAAAACCTTTCACTTTCAGATAAAATCCTTTTTATTTCATTTTATTAACCGATCATTATTAAATTATTTCATTAATTTATTTTTAAGACCTGTATCAGACCATACATTTTGGGTTTAACAAAATAATGGTGTAGTTAGCCGAAATATTCAGCCGAAGGCGCAGTAAATTTTCGGCTAAACAACACCCAGCCGAAAAAAATTCATGTTGATCTTGAATATTTTATTGGTTCAACATCTACTATTTTCGGCTCGGCTAAATACACTTTTTTTTAATAATAGTGTAGTTAGCCGAAATATCCAAATAGCAGTCAAGACAAAATTTTATTTATTATAGAAAACAAGTACATAACATTACTATACTTATTTTTGGACAGTGCATTATTTTTAATTAAATAAAACTACAAAATATTTGTTATTTTTAACTCATTTATTTCTGTCCAATCATACTTCAATATTAGATTTTTTGTAATTTAATTGAAAAAAGTGTATTTAGCCGAAAATTTACTGCGCCTTCAGCTGAATTTTTCGGCTAACTACACCATTATAAAAACATAAAAATACGTTTATAAAAAAAAAATAAAAAACCAAGATTCTTACGAATCTTGGTTCATAGTCAATATTAAACATTTGTTGATCAAGCTGATGGGAAATTTAAAATTATTTAGAGATAGATAGACTGATAGATCATCTAAATCAATATGTATTTTACAGGGGAATTCGTCCCCATTGCTCAATTTCCTGTATTAAAATATTGAAATTAAATCTATAAGTTTGCATTTTACTAGCATTTACAAAAATAATTCAAAATTTTATTAGTAAATTTTTTTTTTTATTTTTATAAACCAAATTAAAATTTGTTTTTTTTAAAAGACTGAAATTTTTTAATAAATTATTATTATTTTCAGTTTTTCTAAACTGAATTTTTTTTTGAAATTTTGGTTTCTTAAACCAAAATTTTTTTATTACTTTTTGAACAATTTATCATAATCATGAAAATAGCTTACCATGCAATTTAGAAGTTTTATATAATTTATTAATTATTATAAGCATAAATACTTTAAATATATACCCCAATCTAACAATAACATTTATTATTAAGCATAATTTAAGAATAATTTAAATATTGTTAACCAAAATGAACATAAAGCATGTCTTAGTATAAAAAATGTTAAATTCGAAATTTAGTACAGTTATGAAAAATGCTATCTTCTTCGCAAGTATTATACCTACACTCGTGAAAGTTAATATATATGTAGTTTCAACCTTGTTGAACAACTTTCAATTAACTAAGAAAGTCGATTTTCTTTGACTAAAGTGGTAAAATTACGCTCTGAAGATAGGAAACAGAAAAACGTTAGTACCATTATGAAGCGTGATCTCTCCATAAGTACTATTCTCACACTTCTGAAAATTAGTACACAAGTAGTTTTGAATCCTTCTGAACAGCTTTTAATTAATAAAGGATGCTGATTTCATTTAGCTAAAGTGATGTAATTACGCTCTAAACTTAGCAAAGAGAAAAAAAGAAAAATTTAGTATTATCATCCCTATAAAAACGAAATGTGTTAAATTTATTTTAAATTCGTGCTCATGTGTAATAAATGTCTAAAAAAGCACCATTTTGTTTAATTTTTGTTTTTTTGTAATAAGACATAAATCGGATAAAATGGTGCTTTTTTAGATATTTATTACACATGAGCACAAATATAAAACAAATTCAACACATTTCGTTTTTATAGGGCATGAAAAATGTGATTAGCATAAAATATTTACTATCTAACCTTATGAAGTTGAGATACGACACAAAATGATAGTTTCATTTGGCTAAAGTAGTAAAAGTATGTTCTGAAATTAGCAAATAAAAAAAAAATATCTGAAAGTTAATAATACTATTATAAAAATGATAAATATCACACCTAACTTTATAAAAATTATGATGTAAGATTGAAGTTTATTTAGAAAAAGAAAGTTTTAATTTAAAAAAATTTTTTATATAAAAAAAAGCTTCATAAATATTGATTGTTTACATATTTGTGAAATGTAATATAAAAGTTAAGATCTGAGACAAAAATTTGGACACATTATTTTCTAAAAGAAATACATATAAATTTAATTAAATATTTAATCTTACAAAATAAAGAAAATGTAAAAAAATTTCATATTGTTTTACTTTTGTTTTCTTTCTAAAAAAAAGAAAAATTTTTTTATTTGATTCATCTACATATTTGATTTTTTGACGAAAATATATATATATATATTTGAATCTTTTAAGAAATTTATGAGTTTCACTATAGTTATTTACAATATAATATGGTAAATAACGAATAAAAAGAATATATACTGTACAATATATTTAAGAAATTTAAAGTCAAAATTGAAATGTGTTATGTCTTTATTGATTTATAACTCCAAAAGTGATTTAAATTTATAAATTGATAAAATTTGTTAAATTTATTTAATAGCCGACCCATCTAAAATCGGCACTGTTTTTCGGGGTTAATTAACGGTTAAATTTGAGCAAAAATCGCACAATTGTGAGAAAACTACATAATACTAGAGAAGGAAATAACTTATTATATATAATAAAAATCATATGATATACAGTATGTAAAAAAAATCCAAGGAAAAATAATATGCTAAAATAAATATATTTTTATTATTGAAAAAAAATCAACTTTACATTTCACGCACGTTAGACTACACTTTTACATGCGAATTTTGATAACTTTTTATTATATTATTATATATAAATATCGACAAATGGCTTATAGTAATAATCAACCAACTCAAAAAAATATTTATTAATTATTTGATTGTCAATTCGTTTAAGATTTTACTTTTTTAGCATTTTATGCTCGAGGCGAATTTAACGAAAATTACATAGTTGGCAATAAATTCACAAATACTAAAATTGTGATAACTCAATATTTTTAATAAAAATCATATGATATATGTAAAAAAACCAAAGGAAAAAAATAATATGTTAAAATAATTATAACTTTACTATGGAAAAAAAATGACTTAACATTGTACGCGCGTTAGCTATATGTATTTTATATGTACGATAGTGCTTAGATGGATCGTCAGCAATCGGGATGACTTTTTTTTTTAAACATTCAAAAGCTGTTTTTTGTTTGACAAAACTGTTAATATTAAGTTAAAAAATAAAATGTTAACATGTGTAAATAATTATTATTTCCTTACCTTCATGCCATGTTCATTATATCTATCACCAACAATTTCAATAGAATCAATAATTTTCCTAATTTCTGATACTTCTTCAGGACTAAGATGAATTTTTCCTGCTTCAAAATTTTCTTCTAAATATTTCATTTTTCTTGTACCAGGAATAGTAACAAATTCATTACCCTATAAAATAAAAAAAAAAGAAAAAAAAATATTAAGAATATTATTATATTTATATAATATAATATTTTAAAATATTAAGTATATTAACCTGAGCTATAACCCAAGCAAGACAAAGTTGACCCGCGGTTACGCCTTTCTTACTACCAAATTCATCGAATTTATGTACAATTTCCAAATTTTTATTGAAATTTTCACCTTGAAAACGTGGAACCGCTCTTCTAAAATCATTTGGTTCGAAATCATCAAGAGATTTATATTTTCCCTAAAAAAGTAATTTAAAAATTTAGAAATGTTCTTTTTTACATACAAATAATTTTTTGTTTTTATAATTTTTTTTTTAAAAAAATAGATAATTACTGTTAGAAAGCCGCGTCCGAGTGGACTATAAGCTACTATGGTAACACCTAATTCGCGACAAGCTTCTAAAACTCCATTTGTCTCAATATCAAGAGTCCAAGGACTATATTCCATCTTAAAAAAAAAATAATAATAATAAATTGTAATGTTGATAATCAATATTCAAATAAAATTTGATATTATTACTTGAACTGCGGCAATAGGATGAACTTTGTAAGCATGTCGAAGACTTTCTGCGGAACATTCAGAAAGACCAATATATTTGATTTTTCCTTCTTTAACAAGTTCTGCTAAAGCGCCGACAGTGTCTTCAATTGGTCTATAAAAATTTAAAACGAATAGTTAATTTATTAAAAAATTTTCAGTAGGAATAAAAAATTTCTTTTACTTACGTATCGGGATCTACACGATGTTGATAATAAAGATCGATATAATCTACCCCCAATCTTTTTAAAGAATTGTCACAAGCTTGACGAACATATTCAGGTTTGCCTGATATTTTATATTCGCCATTTGGTCCTTTAGAGAATGCAAACTTTGTACAAAGAAAAACTTCATTACGACGTTCTTTGAGAACTTTTGAAAGAAGAATTTCATTGGCTCCGGATCCATACATATCCTTTACATTTTTTTTTTAAAAAAAAGCAATACTCCATTATTTATTATTTAAATTAATATTAAAATCTTGAATTTATTAAAAGAGTTTAAATACAAACAGCAGTATCCCAAAAGGTACATCCTATATCAATTGCTCGATTTAATACTTCAATATTTTCTTGTTCATTGACTGAACCGTAAAAATCACTCATGCCCTACCAATCAAAATATCAGCATCACGTGATAAGCAAGTAATTTTGAAGTGAGAGCATACCATGCATCCTAAGCCGATTGCAGGGATTTTTACACCAGTTTTACCAAGTTCACGAAGAAAAGTCATCTCAAAAGAAAGAAAAGGAAGAAAAAACCAAAGAAATAAAATTTCTTTGAAGCAAATCAATAAAATTCCAAGCGCTTTTTATTACAGATAACTGATAAACTCAAATTTTTAATAAACCGGAATTAATCTGGAAAATCATTTATGCGTTTGCGCCAAATTTATTGACAATCGACATGCATGCAAGATTAAAGTTAACCCCTTGACGTAGAGAAAACGTATATTTATTAAATAATAGATACCTCCTAAGGTTAGTTAATTCTTTTTACTATTCAATAATTTTTTGGTGCACAAAATCTGAATAATTATCATCAGCTTACTAATTCCAAAGAATCATTTATAAATGAATAATGATAGCAATAATAATTCCCTCGGGATATAATTTCGAAAACTTATTGGTTCTGTTTCACTAGGCTTATTTTTATGATTTGGACTATAACCTTGATAACGAATATCCTTCCTAATATGGGGTCTATTTATAAGTTTATATCTTTGTAATACGATAAACACACGGGTAATCGGGAAATTAGGTTGCTCTAAATGGATAACCGATTATTAATAGTTTATTAATTTTAGTTACTTTTAGTTACTATACCTTGCTTTATTTAGAATATGTCTAGAACAGGATAATGGAATAATTCTTTACTTTTATTTACCATAATTAGACGGAAACAATATACTAAACAATCAACGGGATTAGCTCAGTTTCTTACAGTTAGTTCCTTACATGGGTCCAGAGAAAATCTCAAAATTAAATTAATATGGTACTTTAACTATCATTTCGCAAGTAATTAAATGATAATCTTTGAACTTTGCAGATCTTTACAGGTATTTTGAGATGTATAATATGTTTATAATTAGTTATTAATGCAGATTTACAACGTTCACTAATAATGGACATCCGACGAACAAGAACATCATGGCGGATTTATAAAATATCTTAAAATTTGTCCGTCATGTCAAATTAAATAAATATACAGTCTTTTAGTCACCAAATTTCTACTTAAATCCCAAATTTATTAGTGAACAGGCAACAATGAGCTCTAAAAAAATTTTTTGTACCCTAAATCTTGCGTTTAACCAATTTTCCGTTACCTAACCAATTTTTCCATTGTAAAGGTGCGTCATTATTAGGAAAAAAGCTTAATGTTTCTGTAAGTCAATTTTAATTCCCGAGGGCGCAGCAGGGTTTTTGCCAAATTTCGTAAATCCGCCGCAATGAAGTATTAATGTTTTGAAACTATCCGATTAAATAAGGATTTTGGTTTACTTGGTCCTCCCCTTTCCAGAAACCGGGATATAACGTTCATAATAATAATTTTTTTTCTTTTTTTGTTAGTAATAACCCGTATTTTTTTTGTTAGTATTTATAAATATATACATACATAGAATATATAGGATTAAAGTTCATTATAATATATATTTCCGTATTAATTTAATTTGTTTGGTTATCTATATATTTCAATAAAACGAGGAACTTTCATTTAAGAGTTACATGTGAGGCTATCATGATGACTACATAATATCTAAAGAATATATTTAACATAATTATTACATTACTTATTATCTTGCAATGCTGGAATTTGCATTACGAGTATAAATTTATTATTCGGGTGATTTAACACCAACTATTAAAAAAATTCAGCAAAGGTAACGAATAAAAAAAAAAACTGCTGATTTAAAATTCGTCTAAAAAATAAAAAATAAAAATAAGAATTCAAAATCCACCACATGCAGTAATTTAAATTACTTGAGATGATAATATTATTTAATTAGCTGTGAATGATTCTATAAAAAAAAAGAAGTACCTTTCTCGTATCCAACCTTTAAAAGCCTGTGTATTTCCCAAAAGAGAGAAGACCAAAGCAATAGTAAAAAACAATTAAGACGTGTTTAATGTATACACAACTGACGGACCTTATAATCTGATATCAAAGTATCAAGATTATTTGCGTATCATGAGATTTAAATTAATTCTGATCGTGCGTAAATATTATATATTAATATCAGAATTTTAATAATTCTGTTTTATTTTAGTAACGAAAATTTTTTTTTTTTTGTTTTACCTCCCGCTTTTATTTAGGTTACCATGTATTCTTTTAACTTTTTTGACTAAATGATTTTGAAAAGATTGTTTCAAGATAAAATTACGATAATAATTAAGAAATCTTCATGAATTTATGAATATGAAGTTAATCATCTTATGTATGATAATAGATTCAAATAAGATTTATTTGTATAGAACCTAAGAAAAATTTGTCTCTGTGAACGTTTTGCAGAAACATCAGTTCAGAAATATTATTTTATAATAATTATTGATAAACAGATGGAATTATAAGAACTCGTCTTAAATTAGGCGTCACACTTAGACGCAGTTTCTAACGTTTTATCAAGATCATGTACTTTAAAATTACATTCTAAAAAAAACCGTACTTACATAATTTTTGTTTGTTTGAGTTATATTATACTCCAAGGATAAATATATTCTTTAAAATCATACTTCGTAATAAGGAGATTTTCTATTCCTAGTATAATCGGAAGTATTAATATTATTACACATATGACATGTATGCGAAAAAATTCAATTTTTAATTGAATATCTTTATTAATAATAATTATTAATAAAAATTTTTGGACTTGGTAACTGAGATCATTGTTACGTCATTTTATAAATATGTACAAAACTTTATGTCACATAGACTAAGCCAAATCCATTGAAACTTTTATTTGTAAGGCTGCATAATAATTAATAATAATTTATTGATTTTATTGATTTTTATTGGTTTGCTATTATCTATTTAATATTATAATACATCTTAATACATTCACGAGTTTTTACTAATCATATTTATAGTTACATTACAATTAGTGATATGAACTTTAAATCAAGAGTCACAAGTCGTCAAGCTGACAAATACACAAATACACAAAAGTCTAAATCTTATATGGTGATCACTGATCAACTAGATGCCCGTAATATCTTAGTCGACAGACTTTGGACGTTCACGTTTACATGGATCGGTTATTGACAAAAAAGAAAAGCATATAGAATAATGCCTTGCATGGATGCAAAAATTCTTTAAAAGGATCATTCGTATGATTTAACCAAAAAATCCGATATATAAAGCTTAGCGGTATTATTCTGGCAATTAACAAGTTGTAAACCACCTTTCGAATCTGAAACAGACAAACACAAACGATGATTATATTAAGCTTTATCAAAGTAAGCATAAAATTAGTAATGATATATTTTTGCAACAAAACACATCTAATCTTAATATGAAATATAAATAGGATGTTGGGAATTTGTACCAGATAGATATCTCGGAATAGTTTCTATTCTTAATAGTATTAGCTCCGAAAAAATAATGCAACTACTAATTTTGAAGTAAGCGAAATAACAAAAGAATTAGAAAACGACAATTTATCATTTCAGATTAGAAATTAGTAGATTTTCATAGTCTCATTCAACATTCTATTTTTATTTTTGTTTCTTTCTTGTATTATGTCAGAATAATAAAAAAACCGTAAATGAATAAACATTTATGTTTATTGTAATTACTCGAGATTATAGAATGTGAAAGAACATGATTACAACATCAAAACGAATATTACTTTATATGAGGATAACACTTTTATATTAACAGTCATACAGGAAAGACTGCTTCAATCCAAAGGGATTTTTCCGAACGTCTGATTCATCTAATACATGTGAATACGTAAACAAAAATCGTTGCAGAAAATGATGGTCGTACGTCAATTACTCCAGTGTTGATCAACAAAATAAATATTTTATAGTAAGCAACCATTAGTAATGTGAAACTTGCAGCTGGCGGATTTAGCGCAACGTTCTATTTTTCAGTGTAACTGGGCAGAGCCTACATATACCATCATCCTCTGTTACATTTCTTATTAAACGTATAACTTCTACGCCAGTCAGTGGCCACATTCAACTTAAAATGATTTATCGAATTTCCATCAACTTAATATTAGACACTATTTATCCCGCAGTAATGTCCACAGCTATCCCAGCCGCAGCATTATCTGTTGGAAAACAAGACCGTGACCTATTATGATAATGTCTCAAATGTTCGGTCTTATACGGTTCACATACTTAGATTCACTTCACGAGTTCAGTTCACGTAGTAGCAATTAAGTGTGGACTTGCCAGTTTCAGTAAAATAGCTAAAGCTACTAATAGTTGTTGTGTGTTTACGTACATACTGACTAGTCAAATATGGTTAATCACACGACACTCATCTGGCAGAAAAATTACGTAACCTTGTTTTTTAATAAATACACTGAATCAAAATCTAATGAATGTAATGAGTTGTACTGATTAATTTAATATGATTAAGTGTAAAGATAATTGGTATAAAAAACCTGAAAAAATTAAGAAATTCTAAATTTCTCTCTATATTTTTCTCTCTATATTTCTAACTATAAGAATGTTCAGAACCATTTTTAACCGCTACTCACGTCGCTTAATTCCAAAGTCCCCTGGTGGTGCGTCTTTCATATAACTTTGTTTTATTATGATTTTATAATGTTCATTTTTTTCATTTTTTTATTTAGGACTTATAAATACTTCTCTTGGTGCTACCGACATTGGTTCCGGCAGTAAACCTCATACGTGACCTTTTATTTTTTTTATCTGTTGTGTTTTTATAATGATCATCATTTTACTTATCTATTTAGAGTCCAAAACCTCCCTTGAAAACATGCTCCTCGAATCTCCTCAATGGGAGAATAAAGTAGAGTTCACTTTAAAAGAATTGGTTTTACACAATATCAACCAACGTCAAAATGACTTAATTGAACACAGGATAACTAAAGCTGAAAATAAATTTCTTTTCACCACCATTTGCGCCACTTGCTCAATTATTTGTACCATTCTCTCAGAAAGATATTTTGCTGGAAAGTCCTACGATACTGATAACAAGATTGCTGATGTTTCAGGAAAAAAGGATACGGACAAAAAGAAATAATTCCTTTTTACATTTAGGATAAAGAATGTTCATCGTAAAGATGAGTTTTTTTACTTTAATGCCCTTATAATAATATTATGATTTCATTCACAATAGCTTATATCTTAAATAATATAATTTCTTTGCGATTCATATCTATTAAATAGTATGATTTCTTTGCGATTTAGAGTCAAAAGAGTTAGTTGAAGGATTTGTCAATGGATTAATAAATTACATAGTTTAAAAAATGAATTTAAAACATCACTTATTTTTAACTGTTGAGATTACAACTTTTTTGAATTACAGAAAGTCACAAAAAAAACACACTGAAAGGAAAATAGGAAGCTTGCATAATAATACCCTGTAAAAAATCTGATCCGTGTTTTATCTTTCCATGTTTTTTCCGTGAATGTATCATTTTCATGGAATTTAAAATGGAAATTTTCATCTCGCTAACAGTGAATGTATCATTTTCACGGAATTTTTACGGAAGAACCGGAGAAATTATGGAAATATTCGGATAAAAATTTTTTATAGGGATAGTTGCTTTTTACTTATTTAAAAGTAATAAAGTGAGTGTTTGATAATTATTTGAAATCGTTCAGTGTAACGACTATAATGAATTTGCTTTTCTTCTTGATAAAACACGTTTTATATATTTATTCCTATTATCTGACGTATTAGAGTAAGTTTTATTATATAAAATGATTACATGTTTTTCAATAATAAAAAAAAGAATAAATCAAATAAAAGTGGTATGATTTGTGAGTTTATTTTTTTTTAATGAGATCTGTCTAATAATTACATTTTCTATTATTAGCATTAGATATTATTTATATCGATTATTAAATATTTTTTTTTGATTAAACAACTATTAAAAAAATCAAAGAAATTATGTTTTTAATTAAGAATTCATAAATCTAATCATTTTGTTGTATTTTTTTTTATTAATATTTATTTTATATTATGTTATATTATACAAACAATCATAAATGAAGTTATGGATTTTACTTTATTTGTTAAGTTGTTTAATAAAACCCTAATGGTTTCAATTTTATATATATAAATTATATAAATCTTCTATTTAAAAAATAAAAACTCCCACTTACTTTACGTTTACTGTTGACTTTTTTTTTATTTACATTTTACAGTAAACTTACTTAGTTAATGATTTATTATTAATTTTAGATAATTTAATATGACCAAATAAAAACATTTTATTAAAATGCTAATCTTCGATTTCTTTCAGATATGAATAAATTGATAAATATGAGCCTTACTACCGTTAAATATCCAGAATAAAATCCTTAAGTTCAAAATAAAATAAGAGTAAATTATATCTAATATCTGTTATGTTTTTTTATATACTAAATATTTTCATTTAAAGTAAAATGTGTTTAATTTCTTTCATCTATAATAAAAAAAAAATAGTTTAATTAAAATTTAATAAAAAGTTACATGCAAAAGTAATTACCTTTAGAATTAATATCAAGTTTAGTAAAATCCATTCTTAAGGAATCTGTAAAATAAAGAATAATTATTATTATAAATAGATTTGAATAATTATTTTGAATTAAAATTACCTGAATATTCTAAGTCATCATTGTCTGCATTTTTTGGTTCGGGAAGATTTTTAAAATCTAAAAGTCTACTTGTGTAAACTGCTTGAGGATGTGTCATATATAAGAGAGTACTAGTAGACGATGATGGTGATTGAACTGTTGAAAATGATAATTTTTTATTAATTTCATCTGCTTCTTCGAATTGATCGATCACAGAATTTTTAAGCGAATAACAATATAAATTCTCTAATAACTCCCGTAATTTATTTGCTTTAGGTCGTTTTAAAGGATCTGCATCCCAACATTGATTAATAAGATCAAAAATTAATTGAGGAATTTTATAGTTAGATCTTGGCCTCAACCCTTTACAAATTTTCATTGCTAAGAATTCATCATGAGCTATATCATAATAAGGAGGGAAACCTGTACAAATTTCATATGCAATAATTCCGAATCCATAAATATCACTTGCTTGAGTATATTC